CTAATTCTTTATGCTGAAATTTTTATATTGACCACACCATATGGTAGTTACTTATTTGTTTTTATAATTTTCGGAATCTCTGATGATCTAATACAACACGGTTTAAGGTCCACCAAGACCACTTATGATCTCGCAGCAAACATCACAACCTAATCAGGAAAATACTCCTGCTTCATGCATCTTGTCCCTGTTCCCAGATTTCGCGAGTTTACTAATTGATAAATGAAAGAACTTAACATTGCAGGAGTGAAGGTTTCTTCTCTCTGGCTGTGACGGTACTACTAGATAACCAGAATTTCTGGAAGAGCTTTTATGTTACAAGGGAGAGTATTCTTCTTCTGCTATCTCCCATGAGAAAAACCTTGCATGAATCCTTGCTCTCACCAGAAGATTTTGGAACTTAATTATCATCCAATCAACCATGCCTCAATCCCACTAGTTGGCGGTCTGCCATATGAAAGATCTAAATCCATTCCTCTGTTTAGTGTTTGGTACTTAATCATCTCTGCTAATAACCCCTCCTATAAAATCTATCTACCAAGAAGTATCTCTGGTTGAGTAACTCTAAACTTTTCTGTTGTTCTCCTTATGGTAGAAGTAAGAGAGAGATACTTTGATTGTAAGCTTCATAGCTTTGTTTTCCCTTCCAATTGTTGTCATGTCCTTCCTCTTGAAGACATTAATTAAGTAAATACAATTGTGCTCTTTCTAATAGCCTAAGCTTTAGGCAAGATAATCACACATTTCAACTGTATCTTCTTCATATTTGTTTTTTCTTTAGGCAAGATAATCACACATTTCAACTGTATCTTCTTCATATTTGTTTTTTCTTCACTCTGATAAGTTGCCTGTACAATCTCCTTAATGAGCAATTGAAATGTTTACAGTTCTGGCATGATTGACTTAAAAGAGTTGTGCTTGGTTGGAGGAAAAGCTGCTTGGATGGCCTACCTGGTAAGTGGTAATGAATATGAAAATCTCGTCTTCTTGCATTTTTTCCATGCTTGGGTCGGAAAGGAAAATCTTGTTCGGCAATTGTACATTAATTGAAGAGTTAAATCGCCAGAACATAAAACAATGGAAATCCTTGTCGTTTCTTGGTTACCATTTTTAAATACGTTACTCTGCAATGCTGTCCGTCAACATGTTGATTTGAACAATATGGTTCACTTATTTATCATTGATCTTTAAATCGGGCCCACCTTTATTTCTTCATTTTATGCTAATACAATGCTTTTAGATCGTAGGCTAAGTTGTTGGTATTTATTCTTATGGCATATAATATTTGCAGGACATATACTGTTTGGATGCTGACGGTGCCTCGTTTGACACTGCATTACTATCTGCAGTTGCTGCCTTTTTGCATTGTAAGTTTTCTATTGCTTGGCTTTTTAAAGTGTTCCTGTAATGATTACTTGTCCCATGAGAGACAACAATATTGTACTTTATATCCCATTTCTGGTTTCGAGATTGGAAATGGGCTGCATTTTAGAAAAGAAGGTGGTTCTTTTGATGGCAGAAAATATCTTATATTATCAACAGGCTATGAAATATGCAAGCTTCACCAAGTAGATATAAGATGAAAGGAAAGAGGACCATCTGTCCTCTCAAGTTCTTAGGGAAATTAGCAAGTATGTTAAGGGAGCAATGCTGTCCAGTCTCTGCAACAATTTTGCCTGTATATGTCATCTAATAAACCTTAGAGGAAGGTGGATCTTGAATAATAAAGAGAAGAGGGGATGAACTGTTCTTAGTTTAAGCAATATGTCACACAAGCAATCTTTAATCTATGAAGCCTTTCTTGGGAAGAGGTGAAGGGATGAAGACGAGTACACATGTTAGGTGCAGTCGTGTGATTCTTTTTTAAGGTTGCAACCATCCCAGGAGGTCAATTTCTCCCTTTTATTGGGATGAGGGAACATTGTTTTTCCTATTAGATGTTCAATATTGTCTACACTAGATATTTATAGCTATACGTGATTAGTTGGAAAAAGTTGGTTCTTGAGTGATCATATAATTTTACTAATAAATTGGATTTCTTGCAGTGAACATTCCAGTAGTGTCTTTGAATGATGATGGGCGAATAGTCCTTGTTTCTGAGGACACTGTCCGGTTGAAATTGGAGAAGGAACCTGTGAATACAGAGAAAAGAAAACTCAAATTGAACTCTCTACCATTCTCCTTAACATGCATACTTCACAAGAACTACATCCTCGCAGATCCTACAGCAGAGGAAGAATCTATAATGGAAACAATTGTAACCGTGGTACTGGATACGTCTTACCAGCTTGTTTCACTTAATAAACCAGGTGGACCAGTTCTTTCCCATACATCAGTTATCCAGGTTAGTTTGTGTCGTAATCTTAATGCTTACATTTCCTAAATGGCAGCAGTTTCTTGTTCATTTCTTTTCTATACAAGGCAAATTTGATAATATTCGTAGTTCATAATTAAAGGGGTTATGGGACTGATGGTAAGGAGACACCCACCCCTACTGAAAAAAGGGATTAAAAAAAAGACGAAGTAATCCTAATGCATAAATAATGCTATTTTGCGTATGCCCATGTGATCATTTCCAGAAAAGTAATGACATGGTTAACGCTATGTATTGTTACTTTGATATTTCCAGTCACTCATTGGGAATATAGTAGAATACATAAGGGAGGATTTATTCCTTTTTCTTTGTCTCTCAACATCCCTCCCCCAAAGTTTTATTTCGGAAGCTTTTAGGTTGTGGTTCCTCACGCTTTTGTCCTCTATCTCCCAGCTTCTAGCTGTATACTGGATGATAGTAGGTTTGGCCGCTTTGACTATAGTTGATAATAAGGGAGTTGACCCATTTTAGGCGCTTTATACCCTTTTTCTCTTTTTATCATTGGTAGAAGCCACCACTAATGGATTGTCACCGAATAGGCATACAGTTGGGTTTCATGTATAGTTGAAATACTCCTTAAAAGTTAAACTGAATAATGATTCGGAAGAGCTTCAATTAAATAAATAGCTCCCTCACCATGGGCCTGAAATAGTTTTCTGGTGATGTGCTTCAAAAGGTGATCAAATCCACTAACGGGACATCATTAGGAGGAAGAGTTTCAGTTTGTAGCAGTGTACATCATACTTTCCTTGAGAAGGACTAATATAAATGAAAGAAACATAATAAACATTACCGTAGGGAGGTGGGACTTAAAAGCAAAGGTTCTGCATGAAGTTAGCAATAGCTCTTGGAGACACTTTATAATTCACATTCCATAGTTCCTTATTGTCTGCAGATTCTGCACAATCTGCAATGGTTCCTAAATATTTCTGTAAATATTAGTTCAAAAGATTATATCTTGACCAATTTTTTTACAATAAATGCTGTTATTTTTCCAGGATTGCGTTGCACTGGCAAGACGCAGAGTGAAGGAGCTTCAGAGTGTCTTGAATGAAGCTATTTCTGATATGGAGGTAGACTGAAGGAGATTTCCCTTGCACCCCATAGCATTCAACAGGCAGCTAATTTTGTCTTTTGGATTATCTGAACTTACTGAAAAATGTATATGGCTGCAACTTCAATTTTGGTTAGCCATTTCTCAGTGGGAAATGCATACTATTTCTCTAACATGATAGCTTCCTTTTTAAAAAAATCAAGTTGGCCTCAACCGCATCTTGCTATTTTATTATCGTTATTTTCTTGTTTGTCTTGTCTTCATTGCACTTCTTTTGAGCCTAACGTCTATCAGAAACAACCTCACCGTTTCCAGATCCCACTTGTGAAATTATTTGGGATGTGTTATTATTGTAGGTTGGCCTCAAGTGTAATTACTATACTATTCATTCCAGCTGAGCACCAAACTGAATGTTCTTTTTTTTCAATGTTAAATTAGGAAATGCCAAGTGATATTTTAGAAGTTAAATTCTTATACAGTCAAATATTTTTAAAACAGCACTGTTTTTTAAATGTCATAGCGAAATGTTGTATATAAAACGTTTAGTATAAACATACCATAAAAATTGGATTTATAAACACTTGATTCACGATAAAAATTAAAAAGTTCACTCTCAAAATTTGAAGTGTCATATAATTGTGATAGAGACAATATAAAAAAAAGATTAGACCAAAATTTAAAATTTTATAAATTATTGCAAACCTAGATCACATTATAGTATTACCAGCCTAACCCATGGACGTATAGAGTGACTATTGGGCCAAGGCCAAATTAATCATTCTGGATCCGAATACCCGAACCGCAAAGCCCAGATTTATTGATCCGAAAAGCTTTAGACAAAAATTCAAATATTCCCATATCATCGCGCCATTTTCAAAAACAGAGAAAAACAAAATCAAAGTTCTCTAGAAGGAACAATGGTAGAAGCATTTCCCAGTAATTGTGAACGTGAAGTTGCTTCTGCTCTTCTCCTTCTCTCAGCCATATCTCCATCTCCTCTTCCAAAGTAAGACGAATTCGAACTCGAAACAAACAATTCGATTCTTATTTTTCATTTGTATTTTCAGTTACAGAGTACAAGAAAGTGGAATATAATCACGCCCTTGTTCCTTCAATCTCTCGAGTAAGAAAATTTTAATGCATTTTCAGTTGTTGATCACTGATCATCTTGTGTTCTGAATTTCAGAAGTAATAGTATGATTGAGATTTCACACAAGGTAGCTCTCAGTAATTCGAATTCAGCTTTGGACTTGGATTCGGATTCGAATTTGAAAAGCAAATCCTCAGCTTCCTCGAGTTTGACCTCTGTTAATTGCTCGTTCACGGAGGCTAGATCACAATCTCGTCGCATGAAGATGATTGCCGCGTTTCATGATCAGATAGTGAAGCTTAAGGTGATGATTTCATATCTTCAGTTTTTCGCTGCTATTGTGCTTTTGTTTTTGTTGAACTCCTCTTTTGCTAGCTTGCATATTCTGAAAATTGAAGCACATTTGAAAAATAGTGTAATGCTTTTTTTTGTTTGTTTGTTTGTTTGTGAATCTCTTGTATTTCGATAAGGAATAATAGTAGTTATTACAAGGAGTAGTAACGGAACGGAACGCTATAACTCTGATGAATACTACTGAAATACTTTTGGTGGAAAGTTTGATGCATTCTTCTTGCAGTCTATGAGAAAATGATCTGTTAGATTTGAATTCGTTGCCAGCTACGGTTGAGTAAATATTCATATGGATATACTTGGATTAATTTTCGTTGCATTAGGTGGTACCAATTCTATGCTGTTTTGATTGCTTTATGCTTTAGAATTTTGAACTTCATTACTCTGTCTCCGAGTTTTAGAATTTGAGAAAATTGATGCTTATTGTGATTCATTTTTCTCCTAGTCTATTTTACTTTCTTAATTGGAACGTTTAAAAAGTGAAACACTCTTTCTTCGGAAATAGTTATCAGATAGTTGATTTCAAATTTAAATTGGAATCTTTGCAGGTTGTTAGACAGCGACGATCAAAGAGCTTCTTCATTTCCGATTACCGGCAAATGAGTTCAGGCAAGCCATCCAAGGCTAGCACTTCTCTGACAACGTTTTGTAGGTCCACTATGGTTTCGGCTTCAGCCTCATCTTCATCTTGTGTGTCCACTGATAGTGGCATTACCAGCGCGCAAAGTCTCGCGGCTGATAGAGTAATTCGCGGGAAGAGAAACAGTCAGTTGACTAAGGAGTTGAACCCGAAAGCACCACCTTACCTGCGCCGCCGAGCGGAAGCCATCTTGAGGGTGTTGTCTCATGGTTCCATTTCTGAAATTAGGATTCGCCAGCTGATAGGCAATAGCCCTGACACTAGCAAAGCCTTAAGAATGTGAGCTCCTCTCTCTCTATTTGTTTCTTTTAGTGTTTGATTAAATACCAAATTTCAAATTCGAGATTCAAACTTTTAAACTTTGACTTGAATTCAGATATAGAAGTTCTAAGTTTTTTGAAATAAAATTTATATATTTGGACACTACCTAAAAAGTACTATATATTATTGGCTATCAAAATTCCAACTATGCTATATAAATTGAGATAGAAGGAGTATTACTATAATTAACAGGATTGTATCAAACAATTCGAAGAATGGAGGGAATAATGGTTATAACCTGTTGTTCATGTTAGAGTTATGAAGGATTAAGAAAATGCAGGTTGCTGAGGCAAGGAAAGGTAAAGAGATCAGGAGCAGGGGGTTCCTCAGATCCCTATACTTACGTGGTTAATTTAGCAAGTAAGCATGATGCATTAATTTTTATTTTATCTAATTATAAGTCTAAACTTGAAATACTTTTTCTAGTTCTTTTTCTTTTGGCTGTAGATTTGTACCACGTGGTCTTCCTCTGGCTCAATTTTTATATGATTTTATTTTAAGATGTCTCAAAGTACGTAAATTTCTTCACTAATAGTGTTGCTCTACATAACTAGGGAGGAATTCAATCAATATCTTCGGACACCGCGTTATAAAATGAGGAGGGGAGGAAGTATTAACTTGACTCTTCAGTTGCTACTTCTTATCTTTTTCCTTTTCAGTAGAGTTTATCCATTGTATATAGAATCATTGCAAAAAAGTAAACATGTATCTGCAAGTTTACTTTTCTTTATATGAAGGCAAGTCTCTCTCCAATTGTTTGAGCAAAATTTTCAGTTTCTTTTCATACATATATATCTATATTTATATATATATATATATATATATATATATTTGCTGCAGATAACAAGCAGACAGCTCTGAAATAGGTGTGAATCAAGTTACTAATTCATCTGGAGTAGACAATTTGATACAAAACCACTCTAATGATTAATATTTACAAGACAGCCTCCCCTGATTCTGACCAGGTATGCTCATTGTTATCCAAACTTCTCTATACCAAATGTGAAGTTGCTTTGTGTCTCTTGCACTTTGGTAATGTCAGAGAAATGAATCTTTGATATGTTTGAAAAGCTGGTATTATCTTTGGTAATGGATTTATTGTCTTTACCATTCTAGAAAGATGCATACTATTTTGTTATCTAGGACCATTTGGCTATCCAATTGGTCAGAATCTATGTATGCAAGTGAACCAAGAAATCTTGCTTTCTATGGCACACTGAGTGGTTTTTACTTTAGCTATATATGAGATTTGAGTGCCGTACTTTCGCAATGGTCATGTTTTTTGCCAAACCTGTCACTTTACTTGGTGATAATGTTGGTCGATTATCATAGCAAACATTTGGCAGTTTATATTCATTGTCCATGAGTTTACTTTGTTGTCTCTAGTGTATTTATAATTCTTGTGCTTGCCTACAAGGGAATTCATACCTTCTTCTTTTTTCCAAGCAAATTTATACCACTAGACAGGACGTCTAGCGACCTTTTATTAATGATAAGATAAAAACCTCAACGTGAATAAGTACAAGCAAGGGAGGCTAAGCCTTACCTTATCAATCCTAATGAGGTAACATTAGTCATTCTCAATACTAGTTTCTTTTGGTTTTCCATATTATAAATCGTCCCTAATGATAAAAAAATCCATTGATATTAAGTGCATTTGGTTCTTTGTTGGCCTGTACGAGCATTGATGCTTGCTGATAGTTTAACTTAAGTGATCATTCTTCACACTGATTCATGATATTAAGGAACAACATTCATTTGCAAGAGTAAATATGCTTGTCTCATAATTTGCAAAATTTGTACTTAATAGGAAAAAGAACACTTCCACTGATTAGGATAAGATTCTCGTCTAGTCAATAACTTCTACTTCCAGGAGAAAATAAGCTAACTAACACATGACATTCTTTAGTTTCATCCATACACTCGTGGAACTCAACATTTTCTTATTTAAGAAAGTCAAAATCAGCTCAGATTCTCAAAGCCAAAAAAGGAAAAATGTACATAATCTGCCTCGATCGAGGAGGGAGGGGTGGGGGCGGGGGCGGAGCATATTAAATTTTAGAAATGCTCAAAATACATCCTTAACCTGTAGTTGATTGAGGAGGAATTAGGTTAATGGATCAATCGCAGCAGGTTTCCTCGCCAAGAAGAAATACATTGGAGTGAAAATGCCTTCCCTGCATCGTCCAAATTGTGGAAAGGATTAGTATCGGTCACAAAACTTTTATAGAAGAAAGTATTTGCACAATGGAACACTAGTTTATAGTTTATTGTTAACAAAGCTTAATGACTTCATTACAGTTCACTGTCAAAAGCTGCACCAAGTTGGCTATCATTTAGCTTTGTTTGGATATAAGTATTACTTAACATAATTAAGCTTCAGTAACAAGATGGAATGTTGAGGGTATTGGCCAGATTTTTAGACTAGACGAGAAGAAACAAGTCATTGCATGTCAAAGAATTGCTCATTATTTTTTTCGTTCTCTTGGACACACTTATTTTAGGTCTTCATAGAAGTTTAGTTGTCCTACCATCGATCAGTCTGTCCGTTAAGTAGATGGTATTTTTAGGTTGTTCAACTTTCTTTATTAGTTAATAATAAAACAGAAAGGCAGAGACAAAGAACCAAACAGGTCTTACTTACTTTCCACCTTCAACAAGTGCATCTGCAGCTTGCTCCAACATGGCTTGAACCTTTTGGCTTCCCTCAGGGGCGAGGCCAACTCGCTCTAATATTTTTACCTAAACAGGATGAAATCCAGGCAAATTCAGTAATTTGACATCATTACATTAAATAATAAAACAGACTGATACTTCAGATAAGGAATGATAACTGGAAAACAACATTCATATAGTTGAAGACATGTCAGCTTACCATGTTTCTGGTGAAAAAGCGTCCAAATGCTGTCACACGGACATTACTTAAGGAGAAATGACTTTTATCCAGAGGCAAGTACCAAGGGAGAGGAGAGTCGATAGCGATATCCTTGTCCCAAATAATCTTTTGCATGAAATGGAAATACAAAAAAGAAGAAAATGTTATTGGGAGATCCTATAGGGAAGAACAAAGTCTTGTATAAGTGGGATATATTAAGAAGTTTCTAGGAAATGAGTCGAAGCAACGCTTATATTTATATACTATGATTTTAAAACTTGATCATACGTGCTACTTACGATCACAGAGTAAAATAATAAGGATTTTTCAAGTACTGAGGTTCACAAGATACACGATACACAGCTCACCTCAAAACCCGCATGTTTCAGAGCTTCAATGCATTCGCCCATTGATCTGATATCAGGAAGTCCATTACCAAGTTCTACCTCACGCTGTTTTGTAGGAACTAAGATTGTTGTTAGCAGAAAAAGTGAAGAGAATAAGACATTTGAGTCAAAAAGGATTTGATACCTTGATTCTCCGATGATTTGAATTATTAGGATCAAAGAAATCGGTGATACACCATTCATAATTAGCAAAACATTGGCCTGGCTTCAAAACTCGGAATATTTCCTTGTAGCAATCAAACTAGTCATCCGCAAAGTATTGTGAAAATGATCAGTTATAGATTCTAAAATTCAAGTATTCTGAAAGTGCCAGTAAGTATTCTGAAAGCCCGTACCACGTTTGGGGCATGACATGTAGCTTCTATGGCAAAAATTCCATCAAAACTGTCATCCGCAAACGGCATACTCATGAAGTCTGCCTACATATTCTACAAAGCATGCAATGAGAAAAACACTACTCTTTTGATAGTAGGATAAAATTTAAGAAGAGTCACATTACCTTCACATAATTGCAGGTGTTGTCAACTCCGCCAATACGGTTTAGTTCCTGTAAAAAACAACCAATGTAATAAATTGAAATTTAGTTCAAACACAACTAACATCCCTAAGATTACCACACATACACCAAAAAAGAGTAAAACTGAAGTAAACATACATAAAGTACTTACTTTTCCTCGTGTTACTTGATATTCATTGTTGTTGATTCCAGTAACATATGCATCACTATAGAAGGTAAATAATAAATATCAGATATCTGTCTGGAAATGAACAAACTCATACAGCAGTTAAGAAGACTAAAATGATAGTGATACTAGAGCAACTGTGCAATGTAGATCTGTTTTAGCCTCGATGGTAAGTAATTAAGAAGGAGAAGTACTCTTCCTTACTAGCTAGAGACTTCCCCGCAGTACGTGGCTAGGAAGCAGGACTATATAAACATTCTGAGCAAAAATGTACGGCTAAACTTTCAGACAAACACACATGTTTTACACTATTCTAATAGCCATCCCAAATACAGAGCTGAACTTTACGGCTTTACCTAAATCTGGCAATTTCTCTTAAGGGACCACCAATTCCACATCCAACATCCAAAATCTGTCAACAAAACAAGAAATTTTCATCATATTAAACTTGTTAAACAAGAGCTGAATGACCAACTTGAAAAAAAAACTTAAAAGGAGAAAGAATAACAGAACAAAAAGAAATCCATAATACTCAAAATAAACAATGAAATGCACCTTCTGTCCATGCTTTACCCCTAATTGCAGAGCAAGAAAGTGTTCATGACGTTTGATACTTTCTCGTAGTGATTCCCCTTTCCATCTGTTATAAGAAAGAAACTACGATAATTGCTTGATCACTTTTGCTGATTATTATGGGCTTCTAATCATAAGCGCCATTCGAAAAGAAGAGAACAAAGTACCTACCGAGGAGCAAAATGGAAAGATTCACCCCAACCATACTCATAAAAGCTTGTTGCTAGATCATAATATTTGTTAACCTGTAAACAAAGAACACATGTTGTGAATTAACTATTGAATTTAAGGATTATTAAAGTCCTATATAAAAGCCACAAAGAGAATAGACATGCCTAAACCTATGTTGCTCGGACTCTTCAAAAATGTCATTAGGTGTGTGTCAAATCCTACTGAAGCAGTGCATTTTTGAGGATCTGACACAGGTGCAGCAACATATTCAGAGTGTCCGAGCAACTTAGGCCTAAACTATCAATAGCATCTCAGAATCCCACCAAGAATGGGCGAAGGTAGATCACTCACTACCTAGTTAGTTGGACACGAGGGGGTTCAATTGAATTCCCTTCATCCGAAAGCGTAAGTGGGCTAACAACATCAATTCATTTTGTTGAAGATATATGAATCGTTGAATAATCTTGACACAAGAAAAGATTCTAGTATACCTATTAAGGAGGTTCAAAATTTGCTTTAGGTCGTATGTTCAAATCTAAGATGTGATAGACTTGCGTTTTAAATCCCCTTAGTAAAAACTTTGGCTCAACCTCTGGGTGTTAGCTCTTTTTACTGTTCGATTATCTTTGTCAAATCTTACCATATCAATGTAGTTAGCTTTCCTCTCTTCCTCCGCTTCTCCATCACAAGCATGATATTTTTCATACCTAAAGTAATTTATAACCCATTATTACATGAGCAAAATGGAATCGCATAAGCCTATTAAAATGAAAAAAATGAACATTGTTTGG